ATGTACCAATTGTTAGATTTTTCTTTTTTATTCTAAAAATATATAAATACAGTCTTTTTTCAAAAAGATTTTTTTTTTTAAATGGATATCTGTACACCTTACGTCTTTCTATATTGCATATTCTTAATTCTTGCTATTATTATTCAATTAACAATTATCTATTTTTTATATGAAACTGAAATTATCATTTTAATAAAATCATTCTTACCAATAATTCGTAAATTCAATACAAATTTTGTATTACTCTTTAAGGAAGTGATCCAATTCATAGACACAAAATTCATTCAAACTGGCTAGAAAAAAAACAAAAAAAACAAAATCAATTCAAAAAAAATCTGTAACAAAAGTTGTTACAAAATCTACGAAACCAAAATCAAAAACTACTAAAAGAAAAACAACCTTAAAAAATAATCTTATAAAGCAATCTAAAGTTTCTTATTGTGCTGGTTGCACACGTAATTTTGGAAATTACAAAGTAATTTAAATGGCAACTAGAAAAAGAAAATTAATTACAACAGATACTAGTAGAAAAAAACCTTGTTCAGTTGGTGTTTGTGGAGATATTAATGAATATAACTTGTATAGATTCAAAAGACTAAATGGGGCTATCATAAATAAATTTGAATTAAATCCAACTATTGAAAATGATACCCCAACATTCAAAACATTAGATACGAGATTTTACAGTTTCCCACTATTTCAAGAAAACCCAAGCTTTGATCAAATAAAAATATTAGATTTCTCATTAAAACTTAATCTAACATCTTATCATCCTCAAGATATCGGAGAAGTAATAAATATTCGAAAAAGAATCACAAAACTATTAGCTCCATTAAAAATAGATTTATATTTAGTTAGAATATGTGATCCTGATTTAACTAAGAAAAAAGAACTTGTTTTATCAGATATTATCAAAGATCCTAAAATCATTAAAGATCATCAACTAAAAAATACAATAGATCCTTTAATGCATCATCAAGTCGTTATAACATGTAATAGTGATTGCTTATTTCAATCACATGAAATAACAATGTGTAGAGAATTTTTAAAAGAAGAACAAGAAGTTTGTGTCATTGATAGAAGTGAAGGACATATAGTATATAATACTGCAAACTACAGATTCATAATGATAATTGATTATATAGATTTTTTATATCAATCAAAATTATTAAACACTAATGCAATAGATAGTCGAAAAATGGAATTAGGTGAAATATATGATATTGGTGAAGGAAATTCTGGAATTCCTGTATTTTTTAGTTCTGGTATAATAGAAACAGCATTTATTCCTAATTATAAAGGGTATCAAACATTTGATGCGATGACAAATATGTTTACTGAAAGAGTCATAGAAGGAGTTAGAGCACAATTAGCTAAAAAAACTGAAGAAGAAGAAATATAATAGAAATTTATGAAAATGTTTTTTTTATTTATTATAATTATTATTCTTTTATTTTTTTATATAAATAAACTATTTTGTCTTTAAAATAAAAAAAAATGGCGAGTAAATGTATTTGCAAATATAATGGTCAATATATTAATTGTTGTGCTAAAAAAGAAATCGTATACAAAAAAGAAAAGGTTATGACTGATGAAGAATATCTTGAAAATATTATAGTTTCTGTTTTAGGAAATTTAAACAATAAACTATCAAAAATACCAGAATCTATTTCAAAACCCAAAATACCAAAACCTGAGCCTATTTCAAAACCTAAAATACCTGAACCTGAACCTATCTCAAAACCTAAACCTGAACCTAAATTACCTGAACCTGAGCCTATTCCAAAACCTATACCAAAACCTGAAATTGATCATAATTTATTAAATAGTATTTTATCAGCGAATATAGATTTAGCAAGCATAGAAGACTTGTTACCAGAAAATAATATTTACAATGAAATAAATAATTCAAAATTACCAGATGAAATGATCAAAAAATTACATGATGAAAGAAGAAATAGTTTATTTGAAAAACTCGAATCAAAAATTCAAGAAACATCAAATATGCAAGATCTTGTATTAAACAAATTACTTGATAATTTAATCGTCAGATCAGATTTAAACAACCTGTTAAAAGACAGATTACATAAATCGAGACAAAAAAAATTTCAGGAATTACAAAATTCATTATTAAATTACTACAAAAATATCATTCAACAAACAAATCAAAATGATCGTCTAACAGATGTCAAAATTGGAATTGGTAGAGATGATAATTTATCTGCTGAACAGAAGAATAAACTTTTCGATCTAATAAACAACAAAATAAATACAAATAATCAAATTGAAGAGTTTGAAAAAATTAAAAACAAAATATTAAAAGAAAATAATGCTGCAAATCTAGAAGTTATCTTAAAGGAAGAAATCTACGATAATTCTAAATATATCAATAATAATCAAAAATCAGAATTAAATAATATAAGACTTGAAAAAATAAATTCATTAAAAGGAGAAAAAGATTTTGAAAATTTGAGTAATCTTATCAATTCTGAATCACTTATAGGTGATTTGTTAGATGAAAAACATTATGATAAAATAATAAATCTTAATGATTATTTGACTAATAATCAAAAACAACAACTCGATGATATTAGAAATAAACGTCTAATATATTTATCAAACAAATATTATGATGATTTAAAAAATAATATTAATATATCTAAAGATATTAAAAAATTAGAAGATAAAGAATATTATGATGATAGAATAGGAGAAGTTATTGATAAATATTTACAAGGAAAATCAAAAAAAGACTTACATATTGTCAGAAGATCAAGATTAGACTATCTACTATCAGAATCTGAAAATGAAACATTTGATACTTTATTAGATTTAATCAAAGATACTGATGATATCGATGAATTAAAAGATGGCTCATTAATTGATAATGAAATTAAAGAGTTAAATCAAACATTGCTAATTAATGGAAGAAATTCTCTTACATTAAATAATATTAGAAAAAATTATTATAATAATGAATTATATAATATAATTAAATCTACAATTGAGATCGAAACTGATTTAACAAAATTACAAAATTGGGAAAAAGCAATAACAGAGTCTTTAGATGAAAATTTTCTTTCAGAAGATAAAACTAAAGAAAAATTAAATCAAATCAGAATTGATAGAATCAATTTGTTACAAAATCTAGTTCAACCTAAAACTAAAATACCAAAAAGACCAAGAACACCAGATAATTCTATAATCAGAGAACCTAGCAAAGCTGATCAAACAAGAAATATCAATGGTACTCCTGAATCACAAATATTAAACATCATCAATCAATATAGAAAAACGTTAGATGATGATAGTTTAAAGAAATTTCCAAGATTAAAAATCAAACCAGTATCTGAAATAATCAAAAAGAGTTATGATAATAGTAGAAACAAAAAATCTTTATTGGATGCATTATATTACACATGGGTTCTTGGAAAAGATGAAAAATTTCTTTTAGAAAATAAATATACAAGAAAAAGAATTGAAGAAACTGATGCTCTAACAAAAGAATTAATAAACTACCTATATGATGAACAACCGAGAAAGAAAGCAAATATTTCAACAAACAGACTTAAAAAAGATAAAATGTATAAACCATTAAAAGGATATCCTTTTGT